GCCCGTGCGGTTCGAGAGCGAGTCATGATTAATCGGATTACGCGCCAATTAATCGGATTATACAGAATTATGCGTTTTTGAAATTTTTAACATATATTTATTATTTTTATACATAAAAACATATATAATTCATAAAAGATAGAACATATATTAAAAAATGCCAATAAACATGTGACTGAATAATCAATAATTAAGTAACTAATTGAACACTCAATCCAATGTATCCATTATCTATGTATACATCATAATTAACTAGCTACTCAAATAAAAGTTATTAATTAAACACTTAAATTAAAACAAAAAGTTCAGAAGCTAAAACCAAAGCATTTAGTCTTCCTCATCATCCTCGTAACGAACGTCAACATCCAACTCTTCTTTAAAGGGAGCCTCAAAATCATCATTATTATCCTCGTCCTAATCATCTTCATTAGTCCCTTCACATGTCATGTCATCAATAGCTGTACTAGAAGAGCCATCCTGATCTGTCCTCGCCCTAGTAGCATGCCTCCTAAATGTCATTCTGCTCCTACGTGGGTCTTCATTAGCCCCACTAGCATCAACAACAATCTTCCATGAAAGTCCTCTAGCCGGAAAACTATCTCTTCTTGTTCATTCTCCCTTTCTTTAACACTGTCGAACTTCCAGTGCAATGCTCTAGAATCATCATTAGTCAGAAGCACGTCCTTGCTTTTGCCACTCTTTGTTCTTCCTTCTCTTTTTTGTATGATCTTTCTATTGAATTACATAAACGCAAGATTATTTAGCCTCTTTGGGTCTAGCTGGTTCCTCTTTTTAGTATGTATCTACATATTTTACAGATCAAAATACAGTTAGAAATCATGCATCATGACATGTTACTAATTTGTTGAAAAAAACTATTACCCCCTCAAATACACTCCAGTTTCGTTCACAGCCCGAGTAACTGCTAGTCAAACCGAGTATCTTTATAGCCATATTTCTCAAATGAGGCGCATCTCCTCCAAAGCTATCCCACCAGTCTGCTATTAATTTGAAACAAACATATATTTAGCAATTAGCATATGAACTAACCATTAAGCTAGGAGTAGACTAGAAGCTTAAAACAAAGTTTGTACTTGGATCAAAATTATCAGTGTCGTTGAAACTCATATAATAGCGTTTTTGACAATCCACTTCCTATAAGCCCTTCTGCATTCTTGTACTTCACTATTTCTTCTTGTGCAACCTTGTCCTGCACATCCTCCATCCCCTAAAAGAATACATCAAGACAATATTAAATAGCACTCTTAGCAGCTTTAATCTCGTGAGGCGTCTTATTCCTATTGTAGAAATAGGGATTCAAAAAGTAAGCTGCCAAATGCAGTGGACTGTCTAGCCTCACTGTCACGTACTTCTTGATAATCTCAACAATCGGTTGGTAAACAGCCTCCTTCCTACTAGAAGCAGATTTTATCTTATTCTTGGCATCATCTAACATACCATGGACAAAGCCTATGGAGGGCCTCCAATCTGCATCAACAATCCTCAGTAGCTTGAAAAGAGGAGCATAGATTTTGATCAACAATTGTATATCCTTTCAGAAAATATCGGAATAGACTGTAGCCTTGGTAGCCATTCCTTTAGATGTCTTGGCCTACCTGTTCTCTTCCCACTCAGCTGAAGAGACCATAACAACTAACTGCGATTTCTTCTCACCAAACAAGTCATGCTAAGGAAGTTAAGTCGCAAACTGTGTAACTCCCAGACGAACAAGCTTCCTTCTATTAGTAAACTTACGCATCAAAGAAATAGTACTATGATGCGAGTAGAGAAAGACCGTGAGATTCCTCCCCTTCTCTGTCACAAACAACTTTGAAAGCTTCCCAATATCCTCCAGCATCAAATCAATCGTGTGTGCCGCACAACTAGTCCAGAATATATTTGGACGCTCATCTTTCAACTTGTTCTTTGCAGCCATATTAGAAGCAGCATTATCGGTAACCACCTGCACTATACGAGACTCTCCAATCTCCGTTATGCAATCTTCAACCAACTTGTAGATGTAGTTTTCCGTGTGCGCATGCTCGGAGTCTTCGATAGACTTGATGAAACTCGTGCCCTCCTTGCAGTGGACGCACAAGTTCATCACACTCCTGTACCTCCTATTAGTCCATCCATCAATAAGGATATTGCAAACGTACTCATCCCACCAATGCTTCTGTATCTTTAACCCTCCCTCAATCTTATCACATGCTTTCTTCAGAAGAGGAGCTCTGAATTGATGCTGACTAGGCCTCTTGTACCCCCGCCCATACCTCCTAATCGCCTCACATGCGATATCGAATTCCTCTATGTCAAATACATGGAAAGAAAGTCCCGCCGCATATGCCCACATGCTCAAGTTTTCATGAGCTAAATCTTTCCATTGCCTCCTCTCAATCTCATTAAGCACGGTTTGCTTCATTTTGCCATCTGTAACCATCTTGTCTAATGGACCGGATATACGTGGCTTCTTCGAGCAGATACTAGCTAGCTCGGGTGCTTCCTCCTCCCTCTCATCTGTAATACGGACCTCTTGTCTCATCTCATACTCCGCCTTCTATTTGTCATTCTTTCTCATCTTAATTACATCTAAGTTTTGTCGACAAGCTCGCCTGTCCTCATCACTTGCAAGAGGGCATCCCTTTGCTTCTCCATCAATTCCGGCAACGTGTTGTTTGAGACGGTTGACTCCTCCCTTCATGACCTTCATGCACTTCTTACATTGCACAGTAAGATGACAATCCTTCTTCATGAGTTTCCTATAATTCCATCCCACGTTAGTAGAATCAGGAAGTTTTTTTGGTATTTGCTCATCACTAGTGCTATATGGTGTCTCACTCATGCTTGAATTTGAGGCCGTCGATGATGACATATAAATCAAGAAATTCTACACATACAAACACAAAAAATCACATTTAAATTATAATCACCCACTGTTGATCATATTTAACTCATAATCGATTATGACATTTAAATCATAATTGATGATCAGTCACATTTAAATCAAAATCAATTAGAACTTTGATTAAAAAAAATTCAATATCCAGCTAACATAACTGTGCAAAGCTGGCTGAGTCATGATAATAATGAAAATTAATGAAACGATAGCATTCAAATCATAGATCTCTTGCAATAATATACCCAAAATTATAAAGAAGTAGGTTTAAATGGTGAAAAAAATGAATTGGTTATAGGAAGCAGATATTAAACTCGTAACAACCTACAACTTATAAGATTGCTTAAAAATGATAGATTACACAGAATGACACTAACCTAGGTAGATCAAAGATGATTTTATGAAGAACTAAATGAACCTAGATCAATTTTCAGCATAAGCACTGCTAGACTAGAAAATAACAAACATCACTAAGGGGCTGTTTGTTTCGTTTCCCCCAGAATCCAAAACCCACTTTCCTTCACTTTTTTACTTTCCCCCACTTTTCAAAACCCACTTTCCTTCACTTTCTCCATTTTCCTCCAATAATATTGTGACAACTCATCCCATCACATCTCATTTCATACTTTTAAAAATAAACAAAACACAAGAAATGAGTCACATCAATCAACTCATCTAACTCACTTTCCCCCACTTTTCTTTATTTTCTATCATCTTTAAAAATTACTCACATCATCCAATAATATGGTGATAACTCATCACATCTCATTAAAATTTTCTTCCATCACTTTCCTTCAAAAAAACAAGGAAATTGATTTTCCTAAGTATGTGTCACATCATCCAATAATATAATGACAACTCATCTCATCTCATCTATTTTCCTCCACTTTTAAGAATGAACCAAACACAAGAAAAGAATCTAAACAAGGAAAGTGGAGGAAAACATCAAAAATTACTCACATCAATCAATAATATGGTGACAACTCATTTTCTCCCCCACTTTCGGTTATAGCTTTGACGAATCAAACCTCTGAAAGTGGAGGAAAACATCAAAATTCATATTCTTTTCCCCCACTTTCCCCCACTTTCAGTCTTTTTTTGCGAAACAAACAGGCCTTAAGAGATGGAGAAGACTTGTATCATAAATTCGTCAAAGAGACACTTTTAATGAAGAATTAAAGGAGTTCAAGTCAATTTGGAGCATACCTATGGAGAAGAGGAGATCTTGCCAGCGATGAAGAGAAACTTCGACGGAGCTCCAACAGTGGAGAGGAGAGGAGAATTAGCAGTTGATGGAAGCAACGGAGTTTTAGGTTTTTCCATGGAAGTAGCGGAGCAAATGTGAATCGGGATTTTGGATATGAGTTAGGTGATATTTGGGTTTAAAACATTGCGGGTTCAATTTTTTAGACCCGAAACTTGTTACAATACATTCAAAAACTCGCCCGCATACTCTTTTGATGCGGGCGAGTACGCGATTTTCGCTCAATTATGTGGTTGTCTGCATAATTGAGTGAATCAGCCCATTTGCAAGTGGAAATAAGCCGATTCCGCATACTCGCTCGCATATGCGGGCGAGTCAAATGATTTTTAGAACTCTAAAATTGTGAAAAGTTGAAGATATAAACCTAGCCATAACAATCTTTGTTTATAAAAAAGAAGAAAATTAGTGAGTTGATGTTGGTGATGGTTAATAAAAAAAGAAATTAAAAATAAAATCATCTTGTTAACTTTTGTATAGTCATGCCAGTTCTACTTATCTGACTCTTTGGTACAAGAAAAAGAGAAGCATCCTGCAAGTATAAGTTTAAATGCTTAACGGAAAGTTGAAAGTCCTTATATGCATCTTCCTTACTCCATTATTTATATGTTTGTCAAATATTCCGCAGGCTGATTGCCCTCATGATAGGTATGTGATGCTCGCCATTCTACAACTCATGCTAATAAAACTCTGGTATCTTATAGATGATCCTCAAAAGACTATCTCATAATAAAACCTAGATAACAAGTAAAAAATCTTTCCAATTATGTTTGTGACATCTCTCTTCTATCTTAATATCTTTCTATTAACCCTGCGATTTTATTTTCTCTTTTGCCATCTCAGGCCAGGAATTGCATTGGTCTAGAGCTAAATGAGTAGAACTAGGCCCATTCCATACCAACACATCTATATTTTGGATCCAGGTAAGAACTTGTTATTTAAAATGGATCCCGTTCCACATAGTTAATTTCTCTTAAATCTCTAATAATTCTAACTCCTCTTATTTTCTCTCGCAAAATCAACTGATAGGAGATGAAGAGGAATCGACCAAGCAAGCTGCCAACGCTCACCGCAAGAGGCTGATGACCCTTTGAGCGCCCAAGAACTCTTTTCCACGCTAGATGATGGACCAATTCTCAACAAAAATAAGTGAGTTTTTTCTGTTTGATAGACTTGTAGAAAATTTACTTCTTTTACTAGACTACTGAGTGTGATTTGTGACCTTAAACTAGAAACATGTTTAGATGTTGTAGAGAACTACTTTTTATTGGATATGCTTGATTTTTTTAATAAAAATGTTAGCCAATTTAAAAACTTGTATGTGAGGTGCATATGCACAATAAGAGATAAGATAATAAATGAGAGAATCATTTGAGATGATTTGACCATGTGCATTAGAGGCCGTTTAATACACTAGACAGAAGAGGTGATAAGATTATAACCAATAGAGAAATGAATAATATAGGTGGCCCCAAGAAAACTTGCTTAGATTCTATTAATATGGATATGCTAATTATTACCTTTGTGGAAGAGATGACCCTGAACATAATTGAGCGGAAGAGTAGGATTCTTGTAGTTACCCAAAAAATTTAGGATAAAGCCTGAGTTTGTATAAGCTCAGTTGTTATTGTATTGAATTTTTAAGGTTCATGGCTCTAACGTATATCATAGGACCATGCTCTTGAAGGACCTTATCTTTATCATGTTATGTAAGGTCAATGAATACATGAAGGATTGCTTGAGATTAAAACTTTTACTGTGCAAGAGGTCTTCGTATAGTAAAGAAAATTATTATTAGTCTAGATAAATTCCAAACGTTATTAACTAAATCTTACTACCAGAAAGGTGAGTCCTTATATCTCTATACTATCAAGTTACGATGGAAGCCTGAGCTTGTCATTCCTTTTATTTCCACCTTAATCTTGATTTTATCTGGCATAATATACAGTTCTTTCTTTTGTCCTGTTTCTCTCTGGTGATTGCTGAACCATATATATTTTAGATAATGATATTCATTTTTGGAGTTGCCTCTCATATATAATTTAAAAGTTCAAATTGACAACAAATTCTCATGTGACTAATTTAATTGCCAAATACCATCAATTGTTGTATTAATTACAACTCTACGACCCCTTTCTCCTTATTGAATATCATTCCTTCTCTTTTTCATCATCTTCTTCCTCTTCTATTCTCTAGCTTTCCACTCTAATATTTTTGCAGCTAAAGAGGGCTACATGAAGTCCTCGTCCAAAGCTTCAAATGGTTCATCAAGCTACGTTGGGGTGAAGAGGAGACTAAGGTTTGTTATGGTCACTCAATTCCATCATTAGAAATGGCTCGAACGATAGAAAACTATGGTCGTCATTTTTTTGTGTGTCCAAACTATCGAGAGGCATCCAAATGTAAGTTTTTTTAAATGGAAGAATAAACCCTTTCCTCCTCAAGCTCTTAAGAAGCTTTTATGTGAGAAAGATGTTTATAAAGGAATGAATATTGAAGTTGGAGTTAGATTTATAGAGGATAAATTGAGAGAAAAAAGTTGAAATTGAAAATTAGAGAGAAGAAGTTAATTAAAAATGAAGATTATCCAAGAGGTAGAGAAAGGGAGTTGAGGAAATATGAGGCTTATTTAAGAGTCAAAAAAGAAAAATTGAAGTATTTTTGGGTATTTGGTGTTTTAATTGTGGTAGTTTTTTTTGTGACTGTAATCAAATTTAATTGAAATTGCTTATGTATTTGTTCTTTGTTGCCTTGTTGATGTATCAATTTTCAGTTATGTATTAGGTAAATTTTGGCTTATTTATTCCGTTAAAAAGGTATTTAATTTTGACTTATAGACATGTATACAAGGTGAAATAATATAGCAAGGTAAAAATGTAGCAAAACACACGGTTAAAAAAACATGTATATAAGGTAAAAAAAACATAACAAAAACATGTATATTTGGGTTTAAAAAAAGAAAAAAACAACTTTATATTCATACCAAAAGTATATTCAAATCAAAATGCAAATATCCATACCATAAGATGATCATTACATCCATTCATCCATACAAATGCAAATATCCATACCAAATGAAAACATCCTTCATCCACACAAAGGCAAATGCATGTATCTATAGAAACATTCATTATATATTTCAAATATTCAAATGCAAATATCCATACCAACATAATCCATTCCAAAAGTATATTAACATGCAAATATCCATACATCAAGAACTCCCACACCAAATATCCATACCACAGTATTACCATTACATCCATTCATCAAAGCCAAACCAAAATGAAACCATCATTACATAAAGTCATAAACACACCAAAAGTTTAACATATACAAAAGTTCAACATCCAAACATTCGCACCCCATTTGTTTTTTGAGCTGCCATAGCTGTAAGTTGTTCATCAACAGCTTTCATTGTGAGTCTAGCCATGTTAGGTAAAACTTTTGACTTGGGAGCTTGAATTGGAGTTGGAGGTTTTCTAAAAGGTAATTTCTACCTCTGGTATGAGCTGGATATTGCCAGGAAAATTCTTAAAAGAATTAATAGGAACAGTTAGAATGAAAAGGCTTATCACCTTGCATCCAGACTATATTCATCCCTAATAAGCCACCATTGCCCTTATACCCTCCTTCAGTTACAGCAGCTCAGCATATTTTAATTTTTCTTGTTTGTGTAGTAAATGAGTCATCCTACATTTCAATTGCACATATTCATAATCAACTCATGAAAATTAATAATCAAGTTGCATATATTTATAATCAAGATAAATTACCTGTTTTTTTATGTATCCATGTATCTGGATGGAATGTTTCTTGCATTCTTTTTCTCGAGTACAATCTTTTTCCTAGGACTAAAAGTGGGCTCATTTGCTTGCATTAGTGATTTGCCAGCAAGGCCTAAAAGAGGAACATTGATTAGCATACACAAAGGTAATCAAGTGAAAAGTAATTAACCAAACTTATAAATTACTTGTGGAAACTTCGAGTACTAGTTTGATGAAGAGTGTTAGCCCCAAGTGTAGATACATTACCTGTTGAGCTTTGATCCTAGAGTTAAGCAAGTGGTAGTATCAATAAGTGTTAATTAAATGACAGTTAAGTGCTAAGTTTTAAAAAGTCCTAATTAAGTATTTAAAAGTGGCAACACACGTGTGATGTAGTGCTAATTACCTTTTGACTAGTTTGTGCAACTGATACTACATGAGAAGCTCCAGCTTGCAACAACATGCGCTTCCACACTTTGTGCACCAATTTTTGATGAAGTAGTCCCTTCTCCTGCAACACCTCCATGTGAGCTTGTGCCTTGTTCTTTTGAAAAAACATAAAATGATTGCAGAGCCCCACCAACTGTTCCTGTCTCATCAAACCAGCCAATTTCATCATTTTCAAGCTTGTCCTTGAGATTCTTTCAGATCTACATCTTGATGTGGAGTGGATGGTGTTGTACTCCCTCTTTGGCATGGAGCAACATGCGAAAAATCTTGACCAATGTGAGGTGTAGTAGCCCCCCCCCCCCCACCCACCCACACACACACACCACTAGCTTGAGATGGAGTTCTCCTTCCTCTTCCTTTACTAGCTTCAGATCCTCTTTCAACTTGATCTTGTGGAGTTGAAGAGACTTCAATTGAGCATTTAGATGATGACCTCTCTCTTTTGCTTTTAGGTAAGGAAACTTTAACCCTCTCATTAGGACAATTACTGACATTATGTCTTGATTTCTTGCATTTTGAATATGTATTCAACTGACAAAACCTGCTTACTGCATCAGGGTTCTTCAATTCTTCAGGTGCCTTTCTCCTAGCTTTCTTTGGTCTTCCTGCCCTTTTGTATACTGGATGCAATATCTTTTCAAATCCTTTCTTGTCCCAATACCTAGAATTTGGAATGGGATTAATGCAGCCCCCATAAGCTTGCTTGTACCTTCATCTTGAACCATTTGTCATGAGTGGACTAACCCTTGCAAATCTTAAGCATTGCATAGTATGAATACAACGTATGCCACTGATCTCCCAAACTTTGCAATCACAAAATCTATTAATACTATCACAGAGCTCAATCCCTCCGTAACTTCAGACTGATCTACCCCATTAAACTTAATGACACAGACCTGTCTAGATTTCCTCTAGCTTTTTAACAATTTTAGGACAAACATCACCATCCTAATTTGAAGCTATCTCCTGCTTGTTCACAAATCTTCTCTCTTAACAATCTTCTAACCATTTCCATCATAGTTACGAATGGATTATCTCTTGCTTCTAAAATGAATTTGTTAAATGCTTCACTAATATTATTGAACAAAAGATCACATTTAACATCACCTTTGAAATGAGATCTCGTCCGTGTAAACTTCTCTAGCTTGTTCAACCAATCATAAGCATGTTTGTTGATTTTCTTCAACTTATCCATCGCCTCATGTTCATGCATAGTGTATGCTTTTGCTGCCTTCCAGAAGTGCTTGTTCAAGTTTTTATCTTTGAACTTATCTCTGAAGTTTGCAAGCAAAAGTCTCACACTAAATCTATGTTGGGCTTCAAGATCTAGTTTCTTTAATGTCTCTGATAAATCCTACAAAACAAAACCAAATGTGACATCTAATATACACATCAAAGTCATGCATTGATAAGTATACACACAAAATCTCAATCATAGATAGTTATATAAGTGACAGAAATGAATTTTAAGTATTATCTTATGCCTATCACTTATGAAAATCCACCCATATTGCCTTTGGTCTCCAATTGCTTCTAATGAAATCTCCATAAACCATGTCCATGTTGCCTCATTTGCACAACTCCAATAGCAATAGGAAACATTTAATTTTTTCCATCCTTACACATAGCACTTAGCAAATCTCCTCTAGCTGGACCCTTGAGAAAGCACCCATCTAATCCAATTACAGGCCTACAACCTGTTTTGAAACCTTTAATCTGAATTTCATATGCAACAAATATTTTTTTTATCCAAAAAATCTATTTGGACCCCATCCCTTCACCTTCTAGTTTTCATTCTAATAACACTATTAGGGTTTCTTTGCAGTAGCATATTTGCATAATCCCAAAGTAGCAAATATTGCTCTTTATAACATATTTCTATAACGTCGAGTCCTTTCCTACTTGCTCTCTTCACTTTGTACTCCTCTACAT